AATAAATTCAGTATATACTTGGCAACAATGATCATAGAGGTTAAAACAGCAACAAATGTCTGTAGTTTAAAAGATATTGTAAAGTCAGTTACTAAATTTACCACTGCAACAGTTTAAGAAGGACAACAGTCTTCACTGTACAGTACTAAATGTTCATTTCAAAGTCATTTTCTATCTTTTTCTTAAACATGTTTTTGAACACTATTCCATGCTTTCCTATTAGTATTAAGAAAGTTTAAAAATTCAAATTATAACTTAACAGGACAAGTTTACCACAGTTCAATAAGAATAAAAAACTTGCAAAATGGTATCACTGAATTTCCCAGTTTGTCCCTGAAGAAGAAAGGTCCACCTTTCAAAAGCATTCACATTTTTTATAATAAATTGTCTTACATAATAAATATTAATTTCAATACTGTAAGAAAACAGCAAAGATGTGATCTTTAATGTCTATAAGAACTTGAAAATGTGTTTGATTTTTCACACTGTTTAACAGGTTTTCACATACTTGTTTGTGGGTATATGTATGTGTTTCTCCACAATGTTCCTAAGCAGAAGTTGTAACCAGTATGCCACTGATTTTTTTACATTGTTGTTTACAAAACATTTCATAAGGTGTACTCATGATCTTTCATATTGCTAATGAAACTAACTTACAGTTGACTTGTTTATTTGGGATAATGGTAGAGAAAATCAAAAAATAAAGGTACTATGAAACACGTGAAGAAAGCATACATATGCAATTCTAATAAAAAAGAAAAAGTTACAATATGGATTTTTACATAATACTTATAAAAAAAAAAAAAATCAAACACACACACATATACATACAATGTGCTAGATTTTACTAAAATCATTTAAAATAATCACTTAGTCTTTTGTTGTTTGCTATGATTTTTAAATTGAAGAATGCAGCTGCAACAGATTTCACTTTTGAACTTTGTTCATTCTTTTCAATAATCTGAATTTTTTGTTGCAATATAAATACAATACATTAATGTTTTAACATGATGTTCTCAATAGTCAATAAACTCATGACAGTCAACACTAAAAAAGTGATAAAATAATGAAATGAAAGAAAAGAATGAAATAAAGGAAACAACGAATAGGAACTGTAGCTAAAGCAGTTCAAATTCAAAGCTACACTGACATATAACAGCTTGTGAGATTACCCAAATAAAAACATGGTTAAACCATAAACCAACTGATTCACCCACAGATAAAAGTGAGCCAACTGTATGTGCATACTTTTACTTTGAAAGAGACATCTATTTCAATACTGACATGTTTGCATTCTTTTTGAAACTTTTTTTTTTAAATATTCTGAAACAAGACTAAAAAAAGTATTACCAACATCAGATTATTTTTTTCCTTTTAATAAATGTTATAGGAAAATTACAATACTTTGAAAATGTTTTTTTAAGCTCTATTGTTGAAAACCAGTTGGTACTAAAAATCTGAATTATTAATAGATTTGAAGGATACTGAAAAAAAATACAGAGCAAGGATAAGGAGCTTGGAATTAATATACAGACTTATGCACAAATGAGAAACTTGAGACTAATACAGGATTAGTGTACTAGAAATAAGGCATATATGGAACCTGTGATGAATGTAAAAATTTAGTGCACTAAAACAATCAGACCTAATACACACAGGACGGTAAATATTTTTAGTTTTTAAAGCTACCACATCAAACTCAAATAGTTTTTGCTCTTATTACCTATCATACACCAATGTGAATACTTATCAGTGCCAACACATTCCATTTAAATTTTTTTTATACCAGATATTTTTGAACAATGTTTCATCTAACAGACAAAAGAAAAATGTGGTAATCAACCAATTGAAAATTTTGAAATCAACCAATTGAAAGTTTCTTTTCAATACACAAATTATTTTCTTTAAGTGTAATATTTTAGTAAGGTGAACCTACCACAATATTCAATAAATAAGGATTTGATTCATCAGAATATTTTGCTGTTGCCTACCATACTCACTAAACCTAACTAAGCTTACCTGTGTCTTGCCATAGAAAAACATTTCTATAGCTTAAAATCAGATATAATTTTACAAGAACATTTTCAAGAATAAAAAGAACAACTACAAAAACTATAACAACATCCCCAGATACTGTGTTTTGTTCTTAAGTCTTCTAAACTTCCAATCAGATTCCTTTGCTTGTCTCTATAAGAACTCCATCTAGTCACTTTCTTAAGAAACTATAAATTCTTGTTTAAACCACTGTACACTGATGTAAATAGTTTATATCTTATAATGCACTATCAACTGTACTTAAACACTGCCTCTAGCAATTTGTCAAGCAGGCATTTATTAGTAATTGATCAGTTTCCATTCTGTGCCATTATAAAAGGGTGACAAAGGGTTGTAGTCACAAAATAACAGAGAAGGAAAAACCACCTGAGAAATAGGTCATAGATAACTACGTTGTCCAAAAAAGAGTTTCTTTACAAAACTATATTTTGAGATTGGCAGAAAAATTAAAGTTATAAAATGAGTTTACAGGTGATTCATTATAGTTGTGCATAAATAAATGTTAGAATATTTTTTCATTTTCATTTGTTAATTGTACCAACTAAGTATTATGACATAGTAAACATCTCTGGTGAAATATTTTTGATTTAAAAATTGCTGAAACAGAGTTAGAATTAATATTTTTTACTTATATTTAGAAATTTGACATACAGGTGTGCAATCAACATCTGAAAAGTGCTCACTTGTCCAGATAGGACTAAATCTATATTTGGTTGGAGATATAAAATTAGACTTGATCTCAAAATTAATTATAAACTGAAAAATAAATTCATTTATCATAGAGATGAATGGCATGACCAAGGATTTTGGAGATTTAAGTACCCTACTAAACAAAAAGTTGTTCCTTGATGTACCCTGATAACATTTTGTCCTGTTGTCTTCACTTACCAGTGTAGTTGCAATGGAAACAGGTACACAAATTTACTACTTTCAAGTGCTTTATGATTCTTGTTTGGAAAGTCATTTAAATAAATGGTCTATCATCATTATCCAATACCATAACTGAAAGTTCTCTCACATTGTCTGTACTTCTTGGCCCTTTCCTACTCTGAACAACAAACAGCATTTAAATACTGTTCATGATTTGGCCTCAGGAAGCTTAAAAACTTGCCCTTATATGTGTACAAAATAAGAATTGTAGTTTTGTCTTTAGTTCCCAAATTTGCACCTTATCTGCCAGTTGAATGTAGCACTTTGCTTCTAAGATCTGTAGTGTAGTCCTTGGAAAAATATATTGTCATTTTACAGAATTCTGGTACCAATGTCATTGTGTTTCTGCTCCTTGTTTCAAAAATGGATATATCCCCCCCCAAAAAAAATGCCTGAAGACATCAACTATATTATAATTACCTTGTATATGAACCCACTGTATGAACATATGCCCGTATTTCTCATTCCATCCTTCGAAACATTATCAGTATATTTTATGTAAATTATAAAAATGCACTTTATCCACAACACTTAGGATATGTACCTTTCATAAAACACACGAGATATACAAAGATTATTAATTAATCATGATGAGGTTTGAAACCAATGGGTGAAATTAGTACTATAATGTTTGTGCATTGTTACTAAATAAGATTCAGTAAATGAAATCCAGTAAGATACAGATCCATAGGCAAGAAAGTAAAATGGATGTGTGTGTGTGTGTGTAAGTATTCTTAAAACATGTCTAAGAATATGTTTCTTAAGGGTTTAGATGGCATTTCTGTTTAACAGAGCAAACCAGATAAGTTATCATCACTAGTTCCAAATGTTACATAACGTGTGAAATTTTCTTTTATAATTACTGTAGTTTGATGTCTTTTCTAAAAGGTCACCAATGTAAAGACGAGGACAGTAGAAAATTATTATAAGTAATAAAAGGGAGTTTTCTTGCCAAATATATATGTTTCATTATTTCATGTAGACCAAAATTCAAAAAGCCCAAAATAAAAGTTTCCAAGTTGGTCCTTTCATATGTAATTTTCATGTCTTTAGCACATTTAGAAGTAAGGACAACAGGTCAATTTTTGATGCAGGCGTGTTAAATCTTGAATTTAGAATGGGTACAATATTTTTGTATGTTAGGATATTTAAACTCCAAAATTAAGGCCCAATTCAGAGATTTGCCACTCACCTATTATTATACAGTTCCTCTTCTTTTCAAGCCAGCTTAGAGCTTTAAGTACATAATTTAATGAAATATTTAGGGTGTTATAAAGCAACATTAATTAAAAAATATGGCTCCAGTGGTACTTGATGGTTTAGTTAACATAAATCGATGAAATTGACATTTGCTTATATATTCCTTTAATACTATATTGCTAAAAACAGGTGTTACGAAGTCTATTTAATATAAATGTATCTTATTTTAATGAAATACAGATTTTTATTAAGAAAAATTACAAAATTCAATGCAGACAAGTAAACCACAAATAAGCTGCAAAGATGCAAAAGCATGAATTAAGTATCCAAAAATATAATTTGTGCAAGAAAAGAAAAAGATAAATAATACATTTACCAGATAGCTGTAAAATACCATAAAACTGAAAAATGGTTGTGCACAACGAACAAAGGGATTAATACAAAGCTAAAAGAAAGTACAAACAATTTTTTCCTTATAATTTTCAATGTATCCCCACAAAGTTCTTGTAAGATCTAGTCTTCCTTCAAACAATGGAGAGGACTTTGAATAAATATTAATCACCTTGGTTTAGAAAAATATAACAAGCCTTCAAGTAAAAACTAGTTGCTAAAGTGAATTGTCACATCATACAGCAACTTTGTGGAGAAGAAATGTACTCATTATATATTTGAGTCATAGTTCAAAAACATTTCAGCCAAATTCAGCAAAAACTAAAGACTTAAATAAAAAAATTATTACGAGAAGCAGCACATGATACTGCAGAAATGAAAAATTACCAAATATTTCTTGATTATGGAAGTGAGATACAACTTACTTGAGACCATCTTGGAAGAGGAGCTGGATGACTTAGAAGGTAATCAGTTGCTTGTTCAAGAGAGTTAGTAGTTAACAGTGCCTCCAAAGCCATTTGACGACTGAATCCCATATCCATCAGTTGTTGTAACTGTCCTTGCTCTTCTAGTTCTTGTCCTCGCCTTGCTCTAATGTTTGTGGAAGAACTGTTGTTGCTATTGTTTGCTGTTTCACCTTCTTTTTCTTTGCTTAATTTTTCCTTCAAAATACAAGTCTAAATTAACTAAATAGTATATCAACTTTAAACAGAATATAATAAAATACATGTCTATTGTTCAATAAAGTTTTTAGAAATATAACTAGACAAATAGCACCAAAACCACATATCATACATTGAATAATTCTTTAACTTATCAATACTGTTATATAACATACCTTTATTTTGCAATACCAGTTCCTATCTAATAAATTTCGTTAAATTGTTTTACGTAAATAGAAAAATTCATTAGATTAATAAATAATAAATCTTGTGACATGATCACTGAAACCATCATTTTAGTACAAAAACTATATATCACAGAACAGATATAACAGATAAAAGCAAATGGCTCACAAATATCAAACTAAGTATCTGAGGAAGCAAGCTGACCATCAACAGGTTAACCAAATTTGCACAGGGTTGGTTCATTGAACCCATGCTGTATTAGAGAAGGAATATTAACTATGATTCTGAATTTACTCAGTGTATCTGCACAAAATGTAAAATGTACAAGGCTGTTGTACACAAAAAAATCAGATGTTTTACAAAAGATATTTTTTATTCAAGATATGCCTGTTTTTCATATTGATTTTATAACTTCTAGAACCTCCAAAATGCACACCTAGTTCTTCAGTAACCTTATATATTGTGTATGGTATTTGCTCTCCTCTACCATGAACTGTTCTATACCAATAATGTAGGGTAAAATGAATAGTTGATAACTAACATCAAATACATACATAATGAATTCACTCCAGCTATCTTACAAAGTTAAAAAAAGCATCTTTATGTTTATCATGATAATTAGAATTGGAAGGAGTAAAAATGTTATTAAACAAAACATACTTTAATGATGCTTTCTCCTCTTAGCAAGTGGCAGAGAATGGCAAGAATAGATTCTGCCATCCTATCTCCATATAGTTTCAGAGGTTTCCGATTCCACAAGTGCATGATTGCTTGAAAAGCCAACTGAAAACGAAAATTGAAACAAGATATGTCAGATGGATCTGAATTTCTATTTTATGACTCCCTACACAAATAAGATTGAAGGCTATAAAAATTATATATTATCATGAGTAGTTTACATTAAATTCCATACTTCAGATGGGTGGTAAATTAATTAACAAAGCGAAAACACCTGAAGAACAAATGTCATGATTCTCATACTAAGGAACTTTGATTATTTCCTTATAAAATTAAGAACTAAAAACATATAATATTAAAATATGATTTATTAACTTCATTTTGAGTGTCAAGTTTATTTGTATACATTGATAGTAAAGTAGTTGAAGTAAATTTTGAATGTGACTCTGTAAAAAAACGTGCACTTTGACCTACCCCTTACAAGTCGATTAAACAAAGAGCTTTAGTTACAAATAAATACAAAACAGCATTTTTACTCATGCTATCACTGGATATGGTTTCATCTATTACTAGTTTCTGACACTTAGAATTTTATATAAGCAATTATTCAAGTTAATGTGTTTTAAATTTTTTCTTTGGTAATAATTTTGAAAACTAGGAAGCAAGAAGTAGAACAACGAACTTCATTAATACAAACCTTGTGTGTGTGTACCAAATAGAGAACAGGATTGAAAGGAACAAAGCCAGGCTGGGATGATTTTACTGGTAGAGTATGTGGAGATTCCATTACCATCTTAGGATTTACCATTTTCTCTAATAACATCAGCCAAGCATCCAGAAATTCCCCAGTTCCATCTACATGAAGAAATATGTTTAATATACAGAAACTGATGATCATCTACCAGCTGATACCATTATGACACCAGAAAGAATAAAACAGTGTTGTTAATGTTTATGTATTGTATTTTATCTTATTAGAAAATATTACTTGCAACAACAAATCCAAAAATAAAAAACACCACCAGAAGAAATTTGTATGGACAAAGATAATGTACAGGTAATTGGTGGAATTTATCCTTAAAAAATACTACTAAGTTAATGAGCCTACATAATATACTGTCTTTCTGAAAGTTTTGTTCTTAGAGTCAGTGAAATTCTTATCCAATTCATTTTTTACATCTTTAGGTTTACAGACAAAAAAGTGAGAGTAATTTCTGCTATTACAGTTCACTAACTGACAAACTTCAAATTTCACATTTTTTGTTGTTTAAAAAATTATAAAAACTATCATACTAATGTGTTTTAGTCAATTTATTACCCTTTCCACCTAACTTGTTAAACATTAGGTTGTCTTGGTCCACTGTTACTGTCACAGTTGGCCTTTAACTCTCTAATTACGAACAACGCCAGTTGAATCAACTGACCCTGTAACCATTTTGTACTCGTTATAGTTTCCATACCATAAATATTAATACCAAATTTGGCAGACTTTTATTAAACAAGTCTTTGTATATAAAAAATCAGATTTTTTAATGAAGTATTTTTACTAAAGTTTTGTCCATGAATATATGTACAGTATTTCTGTATATTAGTCCGGGTGTTAAGTTATTTCCATGTTGAGATTACAAATATGCTTTTCTTCAACTCAAATTTTATTTCCATAATCCTTAAAACCTACTGCATAAATTTCAAACATTTTTTTCCGTAAAACTTTATATAAGGTTGGTCAGTTAGCTTGACTTCATAACCACCAAAATCAAAATAAATTTAAATTACTATTTTTTTCTAGAATGACTTCAAATTGTAACATGAAACTACATTTGTTTATCCTAAATAGCTTTGCACTCATATAACAGTATACACCTATTTATACTTAAATTTTATTGCCCTTTGAACTCAAATTTTTATTCTTACAATTATAAGTTGTAAATCGCTTGGCGAACATGCAGCTCATGTTACACTATTTAATTACCTTAGACTCAAGCTATTTGCAAGCTGCTCGCAAACATACCTTGTGAAAATTATATTATTTTTCACCTAGTCTAACCTTAACTAACACAAGTTTCTATATTTTAGTTACTTTTATAATAATAAATAAAAAATACATGTTTTTTTTTGCTGTCGAATGTCAATGAAACTTAACCCTGCTTTTTTTATATTAAAGTTAATACTGCACTAATAAATTATATTTAATTAAATAATGCACCAAAGAACACAGAATAACAATGTGCAAAGAATGTCCTACAACTATCACAATTTTTCTGGCTTTCTAACTATGCAACAAAAGCTGTTAAAACTTCATCTGAGCTCGTCAATGTGTTTCATGTGGGAGGCAAGCCTGAACTAAAATCAAAATTGACAATTCTCTTCACAGAAAATGATATATGTCATTTGATAGATGAAATTCTTGGCTTTTTATTGGTTATAAATAATACAGTATTGCACAGCAGAGAGATACATTGTCAATTTCTGAAAGAGTGTATGTGAGAAGTGGCATAACAAGGAGGGTCTGGTTGTCTATTCCATGGTTTTGACAAGAAATAAGATCATAGGATATGAAAATTATGCTTTGCCCGAGTGATGACAATATTATAATTTATGTTAAATTTTGTACTTCTTGGAGAGGTGGTAAATAAATTAGGGAAGAGGGGATGCCTAGAGAGCAAATGTCACAATTCTCACACTAGGGGAAATTCTAGATTTCTTTTAATATTTTCCTATAAAATTAAGAAACTTAAAAGTTATATACTATTAAAATATGGGTTATTAGCTGCATTTTAATGCTATATTGGTATACCATAAAAAGAAAGTAGTTTAATTAAAGTTTATACATAACTCACTAAAAACCTCATGAAATTCACAGAAAAAGATACCCATGAAGAGAGTTAAATTTTAAATGTAACTTTGTAAATATTTGTGACGTGCACTTTGACCTACCCATAATCAAGAGATTTAAAAAGTCTTACCTGGAAGATCTGGATGCTCCAATCCTTCTTCTATTGGAACTTTGTTACCACAGGTAAGTGCCCACCTGAAGGTTCTGAAAACAGAGAAACAAACTCTTTGAAAATGTTATCAATTAGAAAAAACTCAAAAATATTTTATTAGTTATCGATGTGTTTGAAGGAAAACGAAATTTGATTATAAACAAGATTATGACACTTATGATATACAACATT